TCAGCATAAAAATCAATAAAAATCAATATAAGAAGCAAAGCATTCAAGAACAAAGAGATGAAGCGTCCACACTCACAAAGGGGAGGAGCAATGTCCCTCTAGGGATAATATTTTATTTACAGGATTTTCCAGATAATCCGTATTATTACTTCAACTTTTTCGGAATATATCAGCCACAGACCTTACATGTACATGTAAATTTGAACATATTAACCTGGTACTGAAGTCACTTAATTCGCTCCCAGTTCAGTTTAAAATCTACTAGTTCATAAAGCAAATAATATATACTTTATTTACGTTTCCATATTGCTCTCTTTCACAGTTAGGGTTTGAGATCAACTGTGGTACTGACAACAGATGTGTTGATAACCTTAAAGTGGATTTCGGCTTCACCAGGTGAGGCTTGCTTGTGTGAGCACAGCTATTGTTGCCATATTGTTTGAACTGAAAAATAACATGGTTTATCAGAGCTCAAAGTACATTATATTTGATGCACTGTGGCATTAGTATGACTGTAGCCTTGTTTCCTCTCTCTTTTTCTCAACTTTCTCCATGTGCTACCAGATCCTCAGTGGTTAAAGTGGGCATTGATGAATTTCTGCATGTCACAGTCACAGTGGAGAACAGAGGAGAAAACTCCTACAACAGCCATGTTATTCTCACGTACCCAGCTGGACTGTCCTACAGGAAGTTCACGAGTCAGCAGGTAAGGCATCAGGATCACGTCTGTATCGGTTCATCACTGATCTGTTGTTGTTCAAATGCATCCAGGAATCATTTTGTTTTTTTAATAAAGGGAAGAATTGAGTGCAACTCCTTGGACAGTGAAGATGATTTATCCCGGGGATGGACAGACTGCACTATTGACAAGCCAATTTTCAAGAGCAAAACTAAGGTGTTTTTTTGTAAATAACATTTTTTTATCAATTCTTTTTTTCTGAATTTTGCACAATTTAAAGGCAAAGAGAAGTCACTCATCTTTCTCATTCAATTAAGGCTTCTTTCATTGTCTCCTATGGGATTGACACAAACAGTCAATTTGAGAAGGAGATCTTTATCACTGCAAATGCCACCAGGTAATGTTCCTTCCTCATTTAAGTAACAGCCCCATGTATACATTACAAATATGTTCACTTCTCTCTTTCAGTGGAAATCAGGAGCATGCCCCTACAAGTGAACTTTACAAAAGGAAATCAATTAATGTAAAATACAGCATTTTTATGACATTTGCAAGGTATGTGTTGTTTTGTTTGTAACTAAAGAAAGAATTACATGTAGTAAGTAACAAATAAGTATGTAATAACAAGTATTATATATATTTTAAACATTAAATATACATTATCTGTTTAGCTCACTAAGCTACAACAATTTCACATTTGGGAAGAATGATTTGAAGAAACCAGTCCAACAATCAGTTAAGGTACATTTAAACTTCTACAGTGGTGTGAAAAAGTTTTTGCCTCTTTCCAGAGTTACTGTTTTTTTTTTTGTATATGTCTGTCACACTTAAATGTTTATCAGATAATCCAAAAAAAATGTTGTTATTAGACCAAGATAATAGAAAAAAACATTTATGTTAATTTTATAACACAAGTTAACTGTGGTGTATCACATTTTTGGAAAGTTGTACAATTCCTCTAGCCACACCCAGGCCTGATTACTGCAATATCGTTTCTTAATTCACTTAAATGGGACCTGCCTGACAAATTAAGTAAACTAAAAGATCCTCAACAGTCAGACATCATGCTGTGTTTCAAGGAAAATCCAGAACCAACAAGAAACAAAGCAATTGAGATCTCCCACAACTTACCTCAGTTAGGGTCAGAGTTCATGACTCCAACATAAGAAAGAGTCTGGGCAAAAATCGCCTGCATGACAGAGCTCCAAGATTAAAACAACTGCTGAGCAAAAGGAACAATAAAGGATCGTTTCAGTTTTGCTAGAAAACATCTTACCGATCCCCAAGACTTTGGGGAATATACTCTGTGGACTGATGAGACAAACATATCAAAACATCATGAAGGAGAATGTTGGGCCATCTGTTTATGACCTGAAGCTGAAGCACATTTGGGTTCTGGAGCAGGACAAGGATGCAAAAAACGCCACCAAGCACACCTAGTCCAAGTCCTGACCTGAATCCCAAAGAGATGCTGTGATATGACATTACAAAGGTGGTTTTAATTCTCAAAAACCCTCCATTGTGTCTGAATTACAACAATTCTGCAACAATGAATGGGCCCATGTAGGTTTGGATATTTTTTCCTCTCAAACATAAACACCTTCATTTAGAAACTGCCTTTTGTATTTACTTGTTATTTTTGTCTAATATTTAACGTTGTTTGATGGTCTAAAACATTTGTGTGACAAACATACAAAAAAAAAAATAGGAAATCACTTTTCCCAACACTGTATCTATATTTTTCCATTGTATGAGTCCATTGTATCATTTAGACCTAAATTTAATGGTTGATTGTTCTTTTCTTTACTTGTTTAGGTTTCAAACGATATCAGAGCGCTTAATTTCATTGTGGTGATCAAAGTTCCAGTGAAGCTTGGTGAAAAAGACATTTGGGTGGATTTGAGCAGTCTACAGGTATTACATTTGTCAGAAGTTTTAGTTTTTGACTCCACAAATGGCTTAAATTTTGATATGGATGGATGGATGTGGTGAAATTAGAACTAATAAAACTATCAAACTGTTTTTATTTGATAAATCAAACACAGATTTCAGATTGTCAGAGAGGAAATGATGAAGAACCAAGTGTCAGAGATTTTGTTCCAAAAATACAAAAGAATAAAGTGGTGGTAAGTATGCCTTGGTACTTAACTGTTCATATTTACCCTAATTGTAGATTTAAAAAGAAATCACATTACACGGGATCACAGCTTATGTTGCATTTTCTCACCCTCAGGACTGCTCTGTAGCCAGGTGCAGAGTGTTCAAGTGCAACTCATTCTTGAAAAGACTGCAGAGTAGGACATACGAAATCTCTGCCAACATTAGTTCACAATGGATAGAGCAGGTAGTTGAAGGGAAGTTTGTGTTGTCTCATTAAGATTTGTTCCTGAGTATGTACTAATAACTTGTTGTTGTTTTTTTTAACATAAGTATGTTTCCTATTAAATCAAAAAACACCCAATTTTGGCTCATTGTGTTCCATTTTTCTTAGATTGGACTGCAATCTACCAAATTCCTCTTGACCATTACAGCCACTGTGGAGTATGACCAAAGCCAGTACATCTACTTTTCAACAGTGTCTAACAACAATCCTCCTGTTCACAAGGTGATTACATATTTTTTTTTCTCTTGTCTGAGTTGTAAAAGATCTTGAATATAATCCATATTCTATTATCTCTCAGCTTGAAGCAGTGGTTGAAGTATATTCTGAGGCAAATTTCACCAAAGAGATCATTGGAGGATGTCTGGGAGGGTTGGCTTTTCTGGCTTTACTCACTGCTGGTCTGTATAAGGTAAAATACACTTTTTAGACTTTTTTTCAATTACTTGCACAGCTTTAAAGTTTTTAGATAACATGTTCAGTTAAAAATAGTTTAAAGGTTAGTATATTCACTCATATAGCTTTGTTTTTTTCACTAATCTTTTTAATGGATGACTGGTGCATTTTTATGTTTTTCCTTGCAATTCTAGGCTGGATTTTTTGAGAGTAAGTACAAGCAGATGATAAATGACAATGCAGAGGACGGTCCAGATCCAGGGACCGATGGAAGTCCATCCCCGGCAGAAAAATAAAGATCACATTTGTAGTTGCATGTTTAAACTATATGAAAGCTATAGATCCTCCTTATAATTTTAGAAGTCAACATTTTGTGTAAAAATGTCAATGCTACCACATTGGATTAATTAAACCAAAAACAGCTTGCTATATCTGACATCATTCTTTCACCCACTCATTCAACACTTTACACTTTACTATACAATGAATATTTCTGAGTTTGAATTGCAAACATTGTACAGTGAATTAGAATTTTTGTGCTTATTGCAGTGCAATACATGCAAATTCTTGTTAGTTTTTGTAGTTTTGTGCTGATAGTTTTGGCGCAACTGTCTCTTTAGCACCACCAATAGGTGATTTTGTGAATAGTTTTGACACATAGTGACACTGCAGGAAGTGGAAAGAAGTAGGAATTTTTAAGGAAGCTACACATGACTGCAACCAATCCACATGCATCAGCCATTAATCCTTAGACCTTTCTGGCATCATCTGTATGTATATTGTTTATATGATCAAAAACAAAAATAATCCCAATACAGTGTCATGTACTGTTTAAAACATAGTGCTGTCAGTATTGTAGCTCGGTGTACACAGGGCTTCCTCTAAATCACTGACGTAACTCTGAACAGTCACCCTGTAACTTCTGCATTTTGGTTTTCAACTCTGACTTTGTCAGCAGAATCAATACGTCACTCATTTCTCAAACTACTTTCATGGATGTAACGCAATGGACTGTTTAGTGTGATGCATGCACAATCATTCTTGTAACAACATCCTAAAAAGTTGATTCTGTTCATCTGTTTGTAGTGTTTTTAGTGGAAGAAACATTCATAAACTCATCTAAGGGAGTTTTTCAGTCTCAGCTGTCTGCAGATTTCAACAACCTTATAAATTAGGGGTGTCAAACATAAGGCCTTGGGACTAGTGTTGGCCTGACAAAGACTTTAATCCTGCCCACTGGACACCTTGAAAAAGAGGGCATACATTTTAGACTTTTAACTGTATATATCTATTCTATAAGTGTTAAAGATTTTCCTACAGATAAACACACACACACACACACAACCTGCAAATATCAGCAAGACCTATTTAGAGACAGGACTCAAAAAGTTCAAAGCAGTTGGAAGGACCAGTCTCCACAGGGCTTTTGCTTAGACCCAGACTCATGTCAATATTATCCCAGAGTCCACACCAGAGTCACACACCACTCAGCAGCTCGCAATTTCCAAATCCTGTGCACATGGACAGACTGGTGAACATAACTTTACAACAAATCCAAACAATAACCAAAGTAGGAGTAGCACTTCACTAGCTGCTTTCAAGGCACCAAGCCATAAGCTGATGCTGATGCACTGCTGCATCCTTTCAAAGCTGCCCAAACGATCTCATCAGAGCGAGTGTGTAATTGCCACCAGGTATGTGATCCTGAAGGAACATAGGCCAACGCGCGCGCACACACACACACACACACACACACACACACACACACACACACACACACACACACACACACACACACACACACACAGGGAAAATGGAGAATGGAGGCACAGACTTGAAACCAAAAACAGAGACAAGGGCACAAGAAGAAAACATCAAACAACATAACATAATATAAACATGATATGATATACTGAAGAAGATATTAGAGAAAACAGAAAAACTCACACACGGGGAAGTCAAAAAAACTAATAGAATAGAAACAAGCCCACTTTTCAGTATTAAAACAGCAATGAGTACGATTCAAAAACTATTCATACTAAATAACAGTAATCAAATACAAGGGGTCTAGAGAAAAAAGTAAGAACAAAAAGTGAATATTTTCTGTGAATTAACAAAACCTTTGTTAAGTTGATTTAATTACCTGGAAAATTTTCCCATGATTAAATTGTGTTCAACAGATTATTGTTTTGAATGAGACCATGTCATCTAGCTATATTTTTGTTATATTACTACTACTACTGTTACTTGTGAGTACAAATGGTTGTCTGTCTCTCTGTGTTAGTCCTATGACAGAGTGGTGATATGTACCCCACCTCTCGCCCTACGACAGCTGAAATATGCTCAAAACAGGAAATGGACACCATGACATCTTCTTCTGACAAATGTGTTCCAAGTCAGGACGTTCAACATACTTGAAATAAGAAAGCACTCTTTTCAGGATAACATTTAATCCATTCAAGATTAAAAACAAATTCCTGTAAATGTTCTAGTTATAAAAAATAGTTCGTTTTTGGACATTGACATATTTTTGGCCATTGAAGAATATTACATTTCTTCACCTTGAATAATTTTGTTGGTTTTACACTGCATGACTTGGGTCCGTATTGAGTCACAGTGACGTGCTGTGAAGCATTAGTGGTAATCCATGAATGTTTGGTCAACACACTGGAACTGAAAGGGCGTTGTCTAAAGTAGAGGTACATTTGCACCCATGACCCCTCATCACTGCTCACACCCATTTTGATGTGGAGATGCAACAGCTTTCCCAAATGACTGATCTCCTCAACCATATCTCAGAGGAAGTGAATTTCCATTGTATACATCCATAAACACAATCTTTCAGTCACTAATAATTGATTTGCTGATAGATGATCTTAGAAACACAGATTGATCAATAAATCGAGAGCTTTGCTTTAATGCTCTCTGTTTACCATGACAGACTAGTACAGTCTCCACACCACTGCAGATGCTGTACCAATCTATTGGCAACAAAAACTGAAGTTAGAATAATAAATAGCCAAGTAAAACCTTTAACTATTATTTACATGAGTTGATTTTGTTGCCTAGAAACTAATAAACGTTTCAGTTGTTATAAAAATCAAGTGCTTGAATCACTGGATAAGACTTAAGCAATACCACCACAGTCTATAGTGTCATAAAATAATGATGTAACTCCTCCTACATAATAATTCCTTTAAATGACTGTCTTATCTTTGAGGAAGCACTGTATCATTTTTGTATTTCTGCTTTCAACTCTTCTCTGACACTATCAGCAGATGTAACATTTCACACAATGGACTGGATATCTAGTGCTACACTATTCCTGTCAGGTAAAACAAGTTTGTGTATTGTGATTTTATCTATTATTTTCTAATTATGAAGGTCAGCAAACAGTAAAATTATGACTGGCATTTTGATGAAAACTGTGTTTTTCAATCATAAAACTAAAACAGGTTCAAAAACTGTAATAAGTCCATGCAATCGTTATACATACATATCTGACTGTTATGTACTGTTAGCTACACATACAGGGCTAAACCAAACCTGAGGCTTTTTACATTAATGTCACATCATATGTATCTGTCCAGTTTATTCTGACATGTTTAATATCATGTTTATTCATGTCTGTATAACAATTGAGCAGAAATGTAAATAACATGAAAAATCAAACAAATTCTAAGCCGACTGATAGTTTTTAACTATTGTTGAAACAATAATGATCATATTAATATGGCTGAGTCATGGTGACAAGAAAAAAAATGAGTGCATGTAATAATGATGAGGTATATTTTTCAAATACATGTAGAACAAGCACTATATGATATACTGGTTATTTCAGAAAGCTGTGTAAAGCTAATGCCCAAAAAATGAAGGCAAAAATAAGGCCGGTCATTTCAGGGGGAAGCCTTGTACAGGACATTCAATTTGCAATGTAAAATTAGATTGTAATTTTATGATTTTCATCTGAGAAAGTATTTGCCTCTTTGTATTTTTTGAATAGCAAAGTTAGTAATCACAGTTTGCTGATTTCAATTTATTTTTGGGATTTATAGAAATGCTATACAAACCTTACTTATCTCAGACATTTTCTGTCTTGTGTGTGTGTGTGTGTGTGTGTGTGTGTGTCATAACTTGATGAATCTGAATTGGTTCAGGAGAGCAGGATGTATGTGCACACAGGTGTGATTGTCTATTTAGCTGCTTTTTTTCAATACTGTAAATAAGCAAATTATACAGTATAGTAATGATATGTTTTGATACTGTGCTGTACCTGATAAATATCTGGAGCTTTAAAAAGTACTACAATATCTTTTCTTTAAAGTTTATGTTTCAGCACTTACTCTTGGACTGATGGATTAAAATACAACAATCAAAGACACAAAACTGATTCCAAATTAAAATATTAAAAACGTTTTTTAACTCAATAACTGTTCTGAGTAATAAAATTCAGAGCTTTAAAGTGTTGGACTTTGGTGCTCTCTAGTGGTCATAAAAGAAACATTGTGGCTGCATTTAAGAAATACAACGAAACTAACACAGACTGTATACTGTTTCTATAAGTGATTATAGATAGTGCTGATAAAATCACATTATTATTCCATAATCAGCTTCAATAATGTTTTTCTTTCTACTTTAATTCTCAGTCTTAAATGCTGCACTTTGTTTCAATATCGATCCTGCGGCTTGGAAGACCCTTAGGAGTTCTGCTGCTGGTTTTGGCTACCAGGTGGTTCAAAGACAATCAGAGTAAGTCAGAGCATGGTTTTTAGGTTAAATGTGGGTTTCCAATTGTTTATAATTACCACTAATACTTTTGCTTTTTTGTCAAAGAAATATTGAATCATGTAATCCTTATTAAAACAATTGGAGCTTTTTCACTTCACTTTATCCACCAAACTTGTATCTTATATTTGGTTTTCTCTCGTTAGCTTGCTCATCAGTGCCCCACTAGAACAGTATTCACAAAACAGAAAAGGGAAAATATACAGGTGTACCACCTCTGGAGAAACCTGCCAAAATATACAATTTCAAGGTAGGTCGTTTCTTAATGTCTCAACAGAATGTCCTGAAACTCTGACAGCATTTTTCAAGTATGCATTAAATCATATTCAACTTTTTTTTCTAGTGATCACAAAATGTATTTTATGAGTGTTTTAACATCTAATGAATGCTTCCAATCCAGAGCCACATTTTGCAATCAACATGTCTCTTGGTTTGACAATGAAAAGTGATCCTGGAACCCAAAACACTGTGGTGAGTTGGCGAACTGCAAATACACTGGCACAGGAAAATAATCAGTTAACTCTAATCAGAATTTGACCTTTTTTTTCTTTTCAGGCATGTGGTCCAACTATTCCAAAGGACTGCAAAAGCTACACCATGTACAATGGTGTGTGTTTTCAGATAGACCAGTACAATAGATTTGGACCTCCAATCCCTTCTTCCATTGACGGTAATTAGCATACTTATATGATTTGAAAATATACTTATGTTTCACGCATACCCACACATACAACATGGGCAGTGGGGGTCACAGAATGAACAAAATCGAATTACTTTCTTTTTTATTTGCAATGTAAGCTTTGATTGATACATAGAGGAGTTTAGTTGAGACAACATAAAACAGAGTATAATACTTACTGTCATTGCATCTGCCACATATAATAGAATTACAGTGTCTCTTCATCAAGAACTGCAAACCATACATGTACATTTGAACCCCCACGCCCCTTAAGAAGAGAAGAGTGCTTGTATTCAGCAAACTGGTTGAGTTGGCAAATAGGACAAAATTTGTACATTTTAGTTTTTTTTAATTAAATGTAACTACATGTTACTAGTTTGAATTTGATTGAGTTAATTAAAAAAGAGTTTTATTTTTTTTTCTATTTTTCTTTGTTTAGTTTTAGTCAACTTAAACAACCATGGCCTGGTGTCACAGGCTGGGTCTCTGAACCAACGCTCTGAGTATATTTTTTTATTCGTCTCATGTTAGATTTGTGATTATAGTTCATGTGTTATTCCTATTTAGCTTTCAGTTGAGGTTAAAGTCAGCCATTATTTATGATTGTCTCCTTGGTTTCTGCGTTTGTAAATGGTAAATGGCCTGCATTTGTATAGTGCTTTACTCAGTCCCTAAGGACCCCAAAGCGTTTTTCGCTACATTCAGCCATTCACACACACATTCACACACTGGCAATGGCAAGTTTGTGTCTTGTCTAACATCTGAAACACACCGGCTGCTCAGCCGTGACAGTCTAAGAGTGACATGTTTCCTTTTCTTTGTTTGTGATTTCTTATAGCTTCCTGAAAAAATACAAATAACTGAAGTGAAAAGGAGATTTAAAGTGAAAACAATGATGTTAATATTATTCTTCCAGAATACCAAGAAATTCAGTCTTTTTCACAAAAAAGGCACAGAGAGCAGTTCAGAAACACTAAAAGAGCATTCCTTGCCCATCTGTTTGACAGAATGCCTGATTGGAACAGACATTGCCTTTCTGTTGGATGGTTCAGGGAGTGTAAATCATCAAGATTTTCAAAAAATAAAGACCTTTGTGAAAAACCTCGTTGGGTCATTTCCCTCAAGTGATACAAAGGTGAGGAACTGCACTGCTATTCTCAGTTAGACATAGACATTACAAGTACATGTAGCTTTTTTAAATTTCCATAAAATATGTTTTTTTTCTTATGTTTTCTACTTATTTCCACTTTCCACTTATT